GTAGTTTTTTATTTGCAAACTATTTCACACAAACAACATTTAACTGTCGTGTAATTTCCTAAAATAATTAGCATTACACTAAATACACTTTACACGGGCTTTCTTGACTGATCTAGGTCTAAAGTGTGCATACGTAGTTCGTTCTAAACCATATGCTTATCATTTTTGTGAACACCCATTCAGATGTTTCTACATAATCAGCTAAGTTTGCCTTCATTACAACTTTACATTTACTTTACTTTGCAATAATTTAGCTTCAGTTCGTTTCATAGACTGCTATAAACACCTTTTAGCTACTTTTTTTCTCTACTATGGGTTTTATTTTTCGTTTTTGTGAGTTTCAACTGGTAAAACCGTTTCATACACTGAAGGCTCATAATTGTTTCGTACACTGTTATAAGTACCATTAATTAAAGTTACTTCTACGTGAGTTTGTTGACTGCGTAATTTGTTTTCAAGTAGACCAGTATTCGTAGATCTAACACACAATGCCTGCAAGAAAGCATAGCTTAAATGGTGTGCGTGAAAATGATATAAGAAAGCAAATTCAAGCGAAGAGCATGAAATTTACCGCAAATATTTTGTGAGTCGCGGCTAGTAATAATAATGATAATATTATTATTATAGAAACAGGATGAAAATGTTTCAAAACAATAAGAATAATCAACTAAACTCGACTAGTGGTGGAAATTGTGGTCTGTCTTTCTCATCAACAATTGGTACAGCCCTGCCTAACCAAGAACAAAACAGAAGCCAATTTAACCCCAACGAACTTTGATTGGAATTATATTCAAGTTCAAATTATACGAAGACTTCACAGAATGCAAAGTGACCCACATTAGAATACTAGTCTCTCTTATCAAAAAAAAGAGAAAAACCAGAGTTTTCATTGTTTCTATGTCTGATATGCAGAACTCTCAAGAGCTCTCATAGTCTCCAGGGGTTGAATGATATGCCTCACCATATCTCAATTAATCTCTCATCCTTCCAAACAAGAACAAAATAATGATCAATTTAACCTAAGTGAACTTCACTTGTAACCATATTCAAGTTAAAGCTTCTTAATTCCCCACCCTCTGTTTTTAATTATACAAAAACCAACTCTTGATTATGGAAGCTACCTTGTGGAGAACATAGAGATTGTCAGTTACTCAAGGCTCAATATGTCAATTTTACACAAAGATATGAAACCCTATAACCATTTCTTGAACTCTTATTGTGATGGATGTTGCTTATGTGAGAGATGGGAGTATGTTTCTGTTCTGTATATTCTCGAGTAGTGACGTGGTATGTTGATGGTATCTGGTGCATTTGTCAGGAAACTTTCTCAGTTTCTGAAATGTTGTTTTCTTCTGTATTTAAGAGATTTGCAGTGTGGTTTAGGTTGAGTGTTGTCAGATACTGGGGTGAAAATGTTTACTGGAATGGTTATATAAAGAAAGTTCAAGGGAGGAGAGGGCTGCTGCTGTCTTCTTCAGGGAGCATTTGATGGAGTGACAAAACATAAAATGTATGTTGAAGGTAGTTGTGAAAGCTGATGCTAGTAGAAGAAGGACTAAGATGTTTTGATGAGGGAAACTCTGCAAGAAAAGTAAAGGCATGGTTGGCTGATGAAGATTGTAATGTGGAACATGCAGTAATTACACTACTATTGGTTTTGTGTAGTTTTGAAAATAAAGTGAAGGTGAAGGGTATGCGAGTAGAGAAGAATGAACAGCAGAAACATAAGAAGAATGGATGTTGTTAGTAGTGGAACTTGATGTTGGTTGGAAAGTGTGATTTGAGTTGAGCTCATTGGCAGAACAAAAGAACCCAGAAAATCATTTGGTTATAAAGTTACATACTGTACTTCTTTGAATATCTTACTACATCTTATGTTATTGGAAGGGGCTGCGCCAGCCTCTTTCTAATGAGGAAGATGTGAGCTAAACATAAAATTGAAAGGGTTGCATACTAAATATATTGTTGCGTTATCGAGATCATGTGATTCTCACGCTCTCTACTTTCTAGAATTATCCTGTATTTTGGTGAATGTTCTAGTTCTTACTAGATATAGGGTAGGCGGATATATATAAGAGGGGACAACGTGACGCGGTAATGTAATGTGTGTGTAGATAGTGAGTAATTGAACTGCAGTTAGAGAGCATGAGAGACGTTACAGCGTTTGTTTAGCGCGATTGTTGAAGTTGAGTGTATTGGTAAGTTATATTCGGAAATAATAAACCAGTTTTATTAAGAAAGAACTTGTGTCGCTTAAGTTTCGTCGGAACGAAGTTACGGATAGTTAATTAACAAACGGAGACGTAACAATATACATACTACATACTGTAGTATTTAAGAAAGTGAACCATCTTTAAAAGTAAGCACTTTTTATTGGATACAGGAGCTACAGGGGAGGCTAAGGCACATTTTGGGGTATTTTAAGCCCCAACAAGCCCTTTCTCTTACCACTGACCTCATTATTGGAAATGTTATTTAAAGGGCTTAATCCATTGTATTAGAATGATTTTGGAGCCTCACAATGTCATAACAGTCCATGTTGCCAATTCCATTCATGTTCTGTCAGATGAAAATGGATCTTGACAATAACTTTGCAGTATAGTTTCCATTCCAAAAAGCGCCATTGTAAGTCTTTTATTTCCAAAACACACTTCTGCCTTGCTTACTTTCCATAATCCACCTAGTATGCAAGGATGATGGTTTCCCAGTACTTGTTTCAACAGTGCAATCACATAGAAATACATAGGTTTTGTATCTGGCAACTGCACCAATATGTCATCATAACAAATAGTTAAATACCCATTTCATTCTTCAGCTGCTTGAGGTATGAGATAGTTTAACTAATATTTAGTAGAAGCAACTTGTATACATGTATCTTGTGTCACCTTTCTAGGTAGAGATCCTTCTTGACTATATTACATACTGTTGCCTAAGGCATGTGGACAATTTCTGTTACTGGCTTTTGTGTTTGTGGATTCTCACCTATTATAAAACACTGCATTTTTTGTACCATTGGTGGAGTAAGACTTGTTGCAGTCTCTTTCTGGATGGTTCTTTTCCCCAAGTTTATCCATATTCCTTTGTGTACAACACCATTAAGTACATTAAGTTGGGATTGGCTGGTCACCAGATTCAACTCAACTGTGACTTCTGGTTTACATGATGTCACAGTCCTACTACATATTGCATTGCGCAGGCTAAAGGTCACCCTTTGTTCTCCTGAAGAGAATAGTCATCTATTCGAAAGTGCTAGAGTTTTGGGTCTTATTTTAAGTCTATTAAGTACGATGGATATCCTTTATTAAGATCCTCAATCTGGATTTGAATGTGTGAATATTTTGCATCAGAAAGGACTGTTTCATACCCTTCCCAAAAGTGAACTATATTTGGTGGCATCATGCTAACTACAAAAAGCCAATATCAAAATATAGTTCTGATACATTGTGTTCAATTGCAACTATATTGGCTGTTATTGTTGTGTGACTTGCTTATTTGCATATTTACAATTGTTTTAATGTAATGTACTCCAAATTGTAATTTTTTAGTTTGTTAAAGTTACTACCTTAACTTTATTGAAAGTCTAAGATATTGTTGCGTCAGCGAGGTCACGTGACTAGTGTAACGCCACGTTTTCTAGAAATATCCTGTTCCTTCATGAATGCTTTAGCATTTACTAGATTGGGGGTAGTCTGGTATATATAGGATGGTCACAACGTGACGGGAATGTGTGTAGGTAGTGAGTAATTGATCTGCAGTCAGAGAGTGTGTAATTGAACAAAAGCATGTGAGACGCTGTTATAGCGCGACTGTTGAAATTAAGTGTATCGCAAAGTTATATTCAGAAAGAATAAGCCAGTTTTATTTAAGAAAGGACTTGTGTCGCTAAAGTTTCATCGGAACGAAGTTACGAAAAATTAACTAACGAACTGAGTCGTAACAATATCATTGAAAATATTATAGCTCTATATCTTTTTGGATGTATTATCCTAATATGTTTTATTGAAAGTTCTTTTATATTTATTTAGGCACAATTTGTTTGTCACTTATTTATTTATTTTTTTTACCTTGAATGAGCTGACTGATGATCATTACTCAACCCTTATAGTTATATCAGCTGAGCAGATATTTTGACACAGTCTCCTGCCTGGTTGTTGTTAATGTATTTGAGCAGATTTTGTTTAAAAGTTGAATGTCACTTACAGAGTCATCAATCGCATTTTGGTAGTAATGGACCCTACATTAAACTCTCATTAACAGTTAAATGTTATGACATTTGACTGTTTTAAATGGCAAGATAATGATTAAACTTGTCAAATATAAAGATATGTAAAATAAGTCTTTTGTGTTTTATAATATTCTATTAAATTCCAAACTTTAATTTTTTTCCTATAAAATTTTATTAAACATGTTTGTTTGATTTAAACAATATTATATAAATTTTGAAAAGTATTCTCAGGGCCCAAACTGCTACTGTTAATCTTCTACTGTGCATGTGTATACCAGGCACCAGCCATATATAGAAACTCTGTATGGTAGCTCAATTCTTTTTGTCTCAAAGAGAGAGAGAGAGAAAAAAAACAAATTAATAAGAGAGAAAATATGAACAGTTGTGTTATGTAGGGCCTTTTTCAGGTGTTATATGAAACAAATTAAATATTACAAGAAATATTAGGCAAAACTTTAGATACATTATTAAAGTTTCAGTTATAGTATTACTAATTTTCTTTGCTACTTTTTGCATATGGAAGGATTTCATGTAACTGTTATTTTGCATGTCAGCATTTTCTGTATTTGTATATTACTGTAGCCTGTATGATAAGTGTCTTTGTTGATACTAGAATCATTTGATTGAGAGAAAAGGGTGATAGTGTTAATTTTTGCAAAGTTGTTCTTATATATATATATAGCATTACTGATTTTTGCTTATTTATAGAGTGTAAAATTTTGATATAATTGTACAGAGTGAACTCATTTATTTTTTGTATCAGTTTTAAACCATTTCCTGTTATTTTTCTAAACAGGTGCATTCCAAAGGATAATATGTATCCCCAGAACAAACCAATACATTGTCAAAACTCAGAGCGTGCAAGTTTCCATTTTGTAATTAAATGCTGCAAAGATTATGACTTCTGTAATCGTTTCCTCTCCCCAACATTAGCTCCCCCTGCAGGTGAAGGTAAGAGAACTGTTTTATGCACAGTGGTGTCTACAGGTTTTAATCTGCTTGAGATGTATAGTAGATTTTACACATGATCTTTATATCAATGGTAAGTAAGTCAAAATACAGTTTTTATACAGATGCTTCTCTGATATTAACATTCAAGTAGCTGTTTAGTGTTATATCAGTATCTTCCATATAAAGTCTGTAGTTGATAGAGAAATTTTAAAAACTATGGTTCAGAATAGATGTCTTATATACATTTATATTTGGCTAAAATGAACTTTATTACATAGGTCAAGAGCTGTGTTTTGGATTAGGGTTTTTACAGTGACTTTTCGAATTTTAATTTCTACGTGATTAGATTTTCCAGAGATTTACAGTTGTGGTTCATATTGGATTCATTGCACAAATCTGTAATTGTGGTTCAGATTAGATTTTTACCGAGATTTATAGCTGTTTTTCAAACTAGAATTTCTGTATAGATTTGTAATTGTGGCTCAGAGTAGATTTTTTCTTTTTATTACAGAGATTTAAAGCTGTGGTTTAAATTGGATTTTTTGCATAAATTTATAATGAGGTTCAGATTAGATTTTTTACAGCTGTGTTTCAATTAGAATTTTTGCATAGATCTATAATTGGTGTTCAGATGAGATTTTTTACAGATTTTATAGTTATGGTTCAAATTGGATTTTTTACATATTCTGTAGCCATTGTTTGAAAATGAACACTATTACCAGCAATTTAGCTGTGGCTTAGATCAAGCTTTATCAATAGATCTGTAGCTCTACCAGTAGTTTAACAACAGATTTTCTACATTGGCCCTACCTGAGGTTTAAGAGCAGAATTCCTACTTAGTTCTAAGCTGTGGTTCAAATGAGATTTTTTTTACATATTCTATAGTCATTGATTCAGAATAAACACTATTACCAGGTTTTTAGCTGTGACTTGGAATAAACGTTATCCATAGATCTGTAGTTTAAGAACAGAATTCCTATTTAGTTATGCCTGTAGCCTCCCCCCCCCCCCTCCATTAAACCTTGTGCATAATTCTTTACATACTGATTTGGATAAAAATGGAATTCCTACATAGCTTTTTAGATTTGATTTTGAACATATTTCCAGTGTACTCTTATGTTCAGGGTTCAAAATGCACTTTAAATAGATGCTTAGCAGTGGTTCATAAAATTCTTTCCACTAAGACTAATAGGTGTAGCTTAGCATAGGATTTTTGGATACATGAATATTTGTAACACTTTTCTAGAATGTATTTATTAGTTCTTGCAAACTTTTATCTAGTTTCAGAAGAAATTTACAAACATAATTACATCAGTAATTTCCTGTGTACTTTCAAAATTCTTAGCAGATTTTCCAACCTGAAGGTACCACTGTGCAGGTGTAACAGTAAGCATTTTTTGAATGTCAACTTTCATAATTCTTCTTCTTACTTAGGTGCTTCAACCAATCACAGATGTTTCCACCATATCACCCCCTCTGGTGTCTTTCACCACATATGAACAGGCCAAATCTAGCACTAATCTGCTGTAGTGATTATGACTTTTGTAATGCAGGTCTGAAGCCCACCCTTCCACCTGATGATTCAACAGGTGAGAGGAGAAGAGAAAGATTAACTTATGTAGGTAGTTGTGATGTCTAAACTGTTTGTGGCTTGCTGGCTAGTTCTTATTCTTTTCTTCTCATGCTGGTTCTTTTAGTTTCTCTCTCTCTCTTGTTTTTTTTTCTGTTTGAGTAAAGTCTTGTTTATTTGTCACTGAGATTTTCAGGAGGCACACTATTAATCAGGTTAGCTAATGTTGACTGGCTGTGCTGCTAGTCTGATCTTCTCAAATATTACTTGATAAACATTTGTTTCACTGAAGATACATGCCAAAAATACAAGACAATGTAAAGAATATTTTTTAAACCTGCAGTTAAAGGTTCATTTGATGTTCTAGTAAATTTCAGGACTGTTGAATTGTCACTAGATAAACTTAATATTAATTTGGTTATCGTTTTAAAAGACTCAAAACTACTTCAGTTAACATGGATGTTAACTTTCATGGTATGATTTTGCCTCTTAAGACCAGAAATTAAATTGAATATTAATTTTCATCTGTAATACAGCAAGCTCTTACAGCCACATATGATAAAGAGTTTGCTAGCATTTATCACCATTATAAGTGACTGTTAAAATCAAATCAGTTACAATCAACTTTCAATAGTATTTCCTAAGATTGCAAAAAAGCAGTTAAACTGAATGTTAAAATTTATTGTACTATAAAGAGTGTTCAAACTACATCAATTAAACTCATAAGGTTTGTCCATCTTAGGAAATTTAGATTTGTCACAAATGCATATTTTAAACTACCAATGCAAAACAATCTATAATAAAAGTATAATAATAAAAACTATAATTAAAAAGTAATGATTTCAATATATTGAGTAGTATAACAACTACTTTTAATGAAAGTAACAATAAATAAATAATATAGTATACCTTACTTAGAGATAACATAAATATTAACTGTTTGTTTAAGCTACTATTGTAGAAGTAAATATCTTTGAACAACATTACCTAGTATAATATGCCTAATTTTTCTCATATTTTCCTTAAGTTTTTTGACCAACAGAAAAACACATTAAGTTACTCCTACTGTCTAACACTGACAAACTTGTGATGACATGTTACTGTTTAAACTGTGTCGAGTTAGTAACTGTAATTTACCTATAGTACAATTAAATTCTAATCTAATCAAAAAGACCATGGGTGTGAAAATAAGGTGTGGTCAAAAAAAGGATTGGGTGTGTAACTTAAAGGCTTCCAATTTTGGATTCATTCCTTCAAGTCGCATGTCAATCCTTTTTTCGCTACAACTTTTTTCACACCTAAAGTCTTTTTGAATGGACATCATGACTTTTTTTTTTGTTAATACACATCAACAAACCATAGCAAGTAAGAAAGTGACACTTCATAGTAACCAACATTAGCTACACTTATAGCATTGATAAGAATTTTACATCCAATATTCATTCATTAGTTAGCGATGCCATGTTTTTTGTTCAACTTGAGGCATGATGGTAGGTAAAACAAAATATGCAGCTTAGCTAACTAATGAATGAATATTTGATGAAAAATTCTTATCAATGCTACAAATGTAACTACCAGTTTGGCCGCCAATTTTGGTTTCATTCTTTTAAGTCGCATGCTCAATCCTTTTTTGGCTGTACCTTTTTTTTTCACACCTAAGGTGCTTTTGATTAGATGTCATGACTTTTTTGTCAATACACAGCAAGTAAAAAAGTGACACTTGATAGTTACCAACATTAGCTTTAGGATTGCAACCCTATTATTCAGAACAGACTAACACTTTACAGAAGCAACCAGATTCTTTAAAATATATTGTCATAGTTTTTCCTCTCTAAAACAGTGTTAATAACTTCATTTATAGTAATACCATGGAAACTAGATTAACAGTTTCTTCTCATTGCAGGAATGCACTTGATACAGTCATATCAAGCCTCATTATTTATGTTAATTGCTTAAACTAATATCACATGATGCTCTTTAATTAGGAGAATTTCATAAAATTTAGGAAATTTGTTCTTAAAATTTGGCAATGAATAATAAATATCAACCATCTTCCTGTATGATTCTTTTGAAAACTTGAGCTAGAAACTGCTAATGTAGTTTGTTTGGCCTAACCAATACTTATATATCTGTTTGTGCTTTCATCCTTTAGTTTTGCTGCTCTAAGTCAGCTGTCATTGATCCGAATAACAAAAACTAAAAACAGTCCATCATTACTCTTAGATGAAGTTGTAGTAAAAATTTCAGACCAATAGCTCATGTGACTTTTTGCATAGACGTAAGCAAAAATTTTTGTCAAAATTGAGCAGTTTTGTGGAATAACTTTGCACATACAACTTGTATTTAAACGAAATTAGACATCTAATTGTAGATTGAAAAGATCTGTCAGTGCAACAAATTGTTAAAAAAAAATCCAAAGAACTTAAATATGTTTCTGATATGATACATTACCTCCACTCTCATTCAGTGCTGCCCTCTATAGGCAAAATATTTTAGGATTTAGATTTGACTGATTCCAATGTGTCTCGCATGTAGCTCATCACACAATGACCTGCCACCAATAAGAGTGCAACATACCCTCTTGACTCTCTTTATTCAATTCTACCAAACTATCACTTCTTGTTTGGCAGTACTCGTGTCAAGACAGTTTTTTGTTGTTTTTATGTGCTCTTTGTATTGTTTGGATTCATGAATTTGTATAGTTTACTTTCTGAAGTGGAATTTCTTTATTAATTTTCGTTGTTTTTTTCTTCACATAGTTAATGAATTTTTCAGTGAACTTAATTTCTCAGTTGTTTTTTTTTCTTCTCTCTCTCTCTCCGATTCTTTTTTCCCCATCAAACATTTGTGTTTGATTTTATATTACAACTATGAATTCTGAGGTTCACATTACCACTTTGAGTATCATACCTCCTACTAGCACTATCACACAGGCTGCAGGTGGGAGAGACCTATCATTGGAATTATCTGATATTATACAACATGAGATTGCCCCACTTCCTCCTGAACAAGCCAAACCTATTTGGGCCATCGAGGATTTTGATAGCCTTATTCCACCACCAGATTTTGCTGTGTCTTCCTAGGCCCCTGCTGCGGAATCAGCTCAGCTTAATATGCCGTTTTTAGACATGATTTCTCAGGTATGTGATGTTTTGTTCATTTCCCTGATTTCTTATGATCCCTGTCTTTATTTGTTGCATGATACCTCTCCTTCTCAGTATTTGATTTCCCCCCTTCCCCGGATATTAGGGTTCATGCTGAGTATTTTGTTTCTATGTTGGTTGAGGGTGCCAGCATGCCTCTCCCTCCATGGGCTATGGATCAGTTTGCATTAATTTATCGTCAGGCTGATTGTACATTTCCCAACTCTCAACAGTTGGGGGTTGATTTTGCCTGTGTGGGGGGCAGTCCCTGATTTTCCTGTGTGTTT